AAGTAATTGATCTAGAGAGAATTTTATGTTTGATATATGAATGAGTACTAACTATTGAAGTGACTAAGCGATTTTGTATCCCCAAAAATCTGGAAACAAATAGTTTATTGCAAAATTTATTAAACTTGTTCTTGTCAGTTTGGTTATTTGAATTAAAACGCGTTCTGGTGTGTTTTCTTCTATGCTTTTGTTTTTCTTATGAACCGGGTCTTCTAATTATCATGACCTTTCGTTCTTGGTATTTTTGCACTCTAACTTGTAAGCGATTGCCAACACCATATGCTTTTGGATGTTGCCTTTCAATTTGTGTCAGATTAACCATAAGCATTTTGCTATTCATTAAATTTTTATGTAAAAGCCATTTTTTACATTGTTACTAGAAATATAATGACGCGCTAGATCAAGCAACTCGGGGTGCGTAATGTTTGTAGTTGATAAGTAATAACTTCAAGAAAATTATTAACTCTAAGAGCAGTCGGGCACATCAAGTTCCCCTCATTTATGCAACTTCAGTCATTTTGAACGAAATACAGATATTGTTAATTGAATTTGACCATCTTGTGCATGAAATTAAGTAACTAGATATAGACTTGGACAGGTGTCATGATTATTCTCCTTATTTAATTAAAATAAAACCTCATTGTGGATTTAACCCGTAGTTTTGTAGTGATGAATAGCTCATTTCATAGGAGTGCGTTTACACTTTTTCTTCCTTAAAATTCGTGGCTTTTAACAGTTGATGATATAAACCACCTAAATAATCTGCGATTATATTGTTTCAATTTTTTCTTAGAGATGAAACGAATCTTTGGAATCGATGTGGGTTCGTATGCCTCCTATGTTGCCTCACAGCAGGGCACTGGTGTAAATACTGTTGCGAACGAATTTGGAGAACGTCATACACCGTAAGCATCTACTTTTATGCATCAATTACGTTTTGTAGAGCGCTGATTTGCTACCAAAGGGGTGAGCTGTTCTTTGGCTACATTGCTGAACAAAAGTCTGTTCAATCTGACTCGTGTTCTGTCGCTGCATTTACAAGACTCCTTGGCAAAAAATTCTCAGATGAATTATGTGAGTGTGAGCAACGATTCACACATGCAAAAATAATTGAATTAGACGATGGATATGCTGGTTTTGAGGTGAGTCGAATTACTACGCAAGCTCCTTGTTGAAGATGTGATTTCGTGGCGTATTAAAACTGCCTGTCTGCGAAAATTTATTTATAGACGAGGTACCTCTCTTGACATTGAGGATATCCATTGACTGCCATCTAAAAGCAATGCCTCGTTAATATGTTGTGACCCCTTGCATGTCGTCTAACAACACGTCGGGGCCACTTCATTAAGTTTAGCTTAATTACACCATCCTGATTTCTGCAATGATGGGGTAGACCAGAGCCGGTGTAGCCAACAGTTTGCTAGATAGCTCAACCAAGTTGCTGTCGTGTGTGGCGTTTGCCTGCGTGTGTATTTATAACTCAGATGTGTGAAATAACGTGAGTCATGGATGCATTAATCTCTAAACTTGAAGGGCTTTTTGTATTACACGCAGATGTAACCCAGGATAAATATTCACCCTAATCCGATGTAAGTTGAGGTTCCCCATGGCTTACGGCACGCTGTGATATAAATGTATCCGAGACTACAGCGACCGGATTAATGATTCACAACAAATATCTCGATTTGACCACAGTATTTGTTCATTCAGCACACGATAAGCTCAACTTTTACGAACGAGTAGTGCTTTTTTGTGTTTAAGAAAATCGTTTTTAAAAGAAAAGTCGTAAACCATCCCAGCAATCCAAAGGTTGCTCACTTGAATGCTTTAAGAATGTGTTTCGAGTGTTTTTCCTGCATTAGTAAAGGCATTTTATAGCTATTTCCCAATTTATTCAGCTCAATAAGGAAAAGTACCGGCCAGAAGAACTCTTGGCTATTTATCTGCGGAAGCTCGTGGAAAGTGCTAAATCGAGCATCAGGGATGAAAATTTATATGTGGCCTTAAGTGTACCAGCTTATTTCGGACACTATGAAAGAATTGCCACTCTGGAGGCAGCAGAAATCGCAGGCCTTGAGCGGGACTCTGTTTGCCTTGTTAACAGTACCACGGCTGGTATGTGTGATAATTTATCTGGCCGGCCTGCACCGTCACGGACATTTAGTTAACTCTCTTTACAGTTTATTTTTCGCCTCCAAATCAACTTCTTTGAAGGTATTGTTTTGTAGTTGTCGGTTGTTAAAACTGACATTACCCAAAGCTTTCTGTAAAGCAGATTCTTGTGAATGAAACAGGTTGATTAGACCTAAATGTGTGAGCTGTGATACGTAGGCTGTCTCTATTGTAGCGAGAACCATGGAATGTGTTAAAGGCACTCCGCCTAACACTTTCGTAGCTAACGCTGTTGGGCTTTTGCAAATAAGCAGGCAACACAGTGAAGACTCCATTTTTAGTCATTCTCTAAAAGTGTCGCCAGTGTAATTTTAGTAAACAACTATTGTTGGGTGTTCATGTAGTTGAATCACTATCTGGCTGCCCTAAAACACCTCGTATAGCAATCCGTGGAATGTTGCAAACCTTTGCACGCACTAAAATTTGTGAAGGACAAGATGATGGTTCCATTGGAATGACCAGGGAATATTTATCACAGAATTAATTTATATTGCTGAGATAACTGGGTTTTCTCCAAAATCTAGTCCTTTCGAAAATCCGACCTACGCTTGTGTTACTGACTCTAATCGCATGGCTCCCGTGTGTTTTAATAAAGGAGATTTACCGTGTCATAATGATTGGTAAAACATAAATATGGGTTAAGCAGAATCAAAATATTTGTGGCTTGAAGGGAGAGAGAAACTACTATTCACGAAATTTGGCTCATGCACCTCTGTTGACATGTAAACGTCATGGCGACTAATGCGTCTTTTTTGACCCTTATACTCCACCATGAATCATTATCGCTATTTGGCAACTGCTAATCAGACCAACAGAGTTTTCTTCAAGTATGCTTCCAATATTCTTCTTTCTACATTCGCAGCCCAAACAACTTTCATGCATCATTACAATCCCATCTGAGTTTTTCATTTCGTGTGTAATGTGAGCAACAAGGAAGTGCAGATTCCTTGACATCATTTATGCTAACAATGTACATGTGTGTTCCATTTTAGCCTGTGTTGCCTTCAATATCTATAATGATTCCCTGTTCATCAAAAAGAACCGAACGGAAACAATTGCTATTGTAGATTTTGGATACTCCAGCTTAAAGGTGGCTATTGTTAAGATGGGCAGAACCTCCATGGAGGTTTTAGCAACAGCGTGCGATCCCAATCTGGGCGGACGTGATTTTGATCGGCTTATCTTTGAACATATTCTGGAAACACTAAACGAGGATGAGCGTGATAGGGTAACGAGAATGATTCTGTATGTCTACCTATTTTAAAATTTAGATCAAACACAGTTTCAAGGGCCGAGTGTTGCTTATGCGTAGCTGCGAAAAGCTGAAGCAAGCACTCTGCCTCACCACGCAGGAAGTGAGACAAAGAGTCGATTGCCAGGTCACCACTAGCGACATAACGATAGCCATGGATCGGAGTTGCTTTGAGGTAGATTTATGTTGACGTGTTTCCCCTTCGAAGTTCAGCAACCCTGGTAGTAATTACCAACTCCCACCAACACACGTGAAAGAATCACACCATTGACTAACTATATGTGCATGTTTGCAATATCTATTTAGCTTGTTCTAAAGCCTAATGTATTTTTTGAAACTTTAGTCTGGCTAGTAAATTAAGCTCATAGGTGATTATTTTGTCCAAGTCACAAAGAACTACATAGTTTTTTCAGGGGTTTCAAAATGGAGCTCCTGAGGAGACTCTCTTCAACGTTACAATCTGTATTTTATTAATTTTATGGTAACTATCTCCTCTTATGCGTTAAGTGAATTGCAGTCCTCAATTAGACAACTACGCAAAACCAGCATCATAGGCAAACTCGAGAAATACAATGCATACCATGCCACGCGTATTTAACTTAAAGGTAAATTGTACGTCCACTACAGAAAACCACTCTCATTTTGGTGTAGTTTTGCCTGATTTTAAAAGCCAATTTATTTGAATATATGGATGACTTAGTTTTTCCTTGCATTAAGACGTTAACCGAGGCTCTTATACATCGGGCTAGAAAAACAATGCAGAAGGCGTTGCAGGATGCTAATCTGTCGAATGTTACAATGGTAGAGGCAATTGGTGGAAGCGTTCGTATTCCCGCAGTTCAGGTGATCATAACTGATGTTTTTGGAGTCAAGCCTTCGTGCAAGTTGAATCCTGACCAGACGGTTGCACGCGGTTGTGGATTAATGGTATGGTCTTTTAACTCATAGCTTTGCATTGTAAGACAATGAAATTCCTAATCCACATATTATTATGAGTTTGTTGTTATTGACATAAAATCAAATGGATCAGACCTGCTACTTCGTCAGATAAGACTGTGACTTAGTATTTTGCGTTGGCTTACGTCAGGTAATTTGAGATGATCCCTAACCCTCATAAATGCTGCTTTGAAATGGTCAGGAGTCATTGGAAAGCAAATGAGTCTTGAGCCACACACACACTATCCCATTACATATAATTCGACCCTTGGCCGCTTGTGCGCATGATTGAGAAAATCCTATTATGTTTATAAAAGTGTGTTTCCATGGCATCGGGTTTACACAAAGTTTATTTACCGGTAGCTCAAAAAATACGAGATTTAATGTAAGTGAACTTTTGGAAGATGACCCTTCTATTAAACAGTTAGGTTTTGACTACTAGAGTGCATACTGCCTGTACTATAAAACGGTCAGCCAAGCTTGTCACTTATATGCTCTGTCCTTTTCAGAGCTGTCTTTGTTGTGATTTTAATTAAGCCTCTGGACGTCTTATGCTACATGTTACGATTGAAAGCTTTTTGTCCCCCCTAGAGATTTTGTTTTATCAAAATGCAGATGAAATAAACTTCAAAGATGTGCTATTGATACCACGTGAGTTTCGTCTCAGGTGGTTACATTCAACACTGCCCATACCAAGGAAAATCTTCCAAGCTTTGAAGGTGTCACTAGCTCTTGATTATGATAGCTCCTGGTTTTGTTTGTGTAAGCATTTTTTACGTCACTCTAGAGAAATATTAATTTCCTTGTTCCCCTCTCAAGTTGCTTATCGGTTTCATTCACTACCATGAAACGGAGAATATGAGGCATTTGTTAAAAATGTGTTAGATTAGTGCAGTTTCAATGTATCTCACTCCTCAGCTTAGGTATCACCTATTGCTGTTTTTTGTATTTAATTTTTTAGGCTTTGAAGATGACGAAGGGTTATTCATTAAAATCCTTTTCGGTAATTGATATGCCTAGCATTCGTGTATATGTGAATGGTAAAGTTCAGCAAGGGGTTTTGCGTGTACCCAGTAGTAAATGTTGGCATATTCAGTTTAAACATCTGGGTGTCAAGATTAGTGAGATCCCAGCTACGCTCTCGACGAACTCAGGAATACGTTTCAAGATCTCTCCTGAAAACTTTCGACAACCGTTCCTGAAAAAGCTACTAATCAAGATCATTTCTGCCCCACTTCGAGGAACCTCGATCGAAAGTGATTGGATTGTGGACAATAACGGAGTCGTTTCATGTGTAAAATTTGTACGTCCTGATTATGAAGACACTAAAGTGGATGTCTGCACGAATTATCTTTCTTTGGAATGCATTTCATCGCTTAGAAAAAGACAGGCAAGTTCGATTTTTTTAAGTTTTCCCTTAAAGTGATAAAGAGTTGCTGGAATAATGAAGGATTCGATGGGGGTAAATCCAAACCAGTATTTTAATCAGTATAATTGCGAAATGTTTGGGTCAAAAGTCAGTTATTGTGACCAGGAACAGCTCAAAAATTGTCAACTAATGGATACCATTTGCGGGTTAGAAAGCACTTAAAATGGTTAGTTTATCTTTATAATTACTCAGCTCAATTGTAAAAATATTCCTTGGTGATGTTCTAATGGATTTGTGCAGCTCTTGTTTCAGTGTTAATCAATAGGTCGATCCGGCACTGTTGCACCTTTGCTTTGGCTGTTAGATTAGGGACACTAATGGTGAGCACTTATCTCAAGTATGCATTCCCTTTAAAAGTACCCGCAATTACAGTCAGACTTTAATTTTCCCAATTTTTACACATAATTTGCACCAAAGAGCAGCCTTGCTGGCTAGTTGAATCTCCTATCACGCTATTAATCAAGAAGCATGGTTTTTAGCTATATTTAAAGGAGTTTTCCGAATTCTACTTTAATTGCGAAATGTATTTGCAACTGAGCCCATGATGGGGACATTAACATCGTGGTTATCTTTAAAGTAATGTAATGGTGCAAATTTCGTTATTGAAGTAGTTAAATGGAAGCATTTTCAATGCATCAAAATCCAAATTCGAACGGTCTATTTTTACGTCGTTTATTAACCGATGTCCATTTGTTTCTGCCATTGTGATGGAAGCAAATATTTCGTTGATAGGACGATTACGAAATTCAGGCCCGTGAGAAGAAGGAACAAAAGGTTAAGTTGAATATGTTTGAATCGTGCATCTATGATGCCATGAATAATTTGTCAATGAAACCGAATTATAATAAGGAACTCTACCCACTCCTTGAGGCAGCATTGAAGTGGATTTCTTCTGAGGGAATTAGAGCACCACTTCAAGATGTCGAGAATAGATTTTCTTTGACCAACAACCTGGTAAGTTTAGTGAAGGTGATTTCCTTACCTAACTTATTGGGTACCCTAGTGCTCCATAGAACAATTTTAGTATTGTACCACGACAGTTTAAACGTTTTTGGACCTCTTAATGGATTTGATTTAATTAAAACAAATAAATAAAAATTGTTAGAAAATAATGAACAAATATTCATTTGCATGATTTGGTTAACTGATGGATTTTTAGGCTTTACTTAGGACTGAGCCATGAGTTATCTTACGAACGGTGTCATTGTGGAGTTTAAGGTCTCTAGGTGGCTGTGTCCGTTTTGCTCTGATTCGACATTAAGACGTTAGAAGTCAGCCACTCGAGTATTTTTATTTTATTCCGAGTACTCACAGTCATTAAAATTGCAACACATTCTCCTGTAACTGTTTAAGGTACACTGAAAGTCCTCTTAGACGGAAAGTAGCAGATATTTGGAAAGCGAATATGTGTTATTTATAATCAACATCACTCTCCACAAAGAAAAAGTTCAAAATTATTAAATGCAAAGACTTGTGTAGTGCCTTCACCATTTCAATCACTTCAGTAGCCGCCGCATAAGTAGGGCTATTTTAGAAATATTGCATATGTGTAAAATCGAAAACCTGTTATATTGATGTATTTTTAAGATACATAAGTTCGAGGAATATCTTCAAGAGTTGGAAAAGACCCAGGAAATAATACAGTCAGCGTTTAAGGATTTCGATGAAATCCTGATGAAAGAAGGCAGAAAAGGTAAAATGTCCGTGACACAGATACTCCTGGAAGAAATTGAGGTTGGTTTTTATTATACGTTTATGAGCAGTTGGTACATACTCTTAGGAAAGACATAGTTAACTGAGATGCCTGTGCTTAGTGCCACTGTGTACATCACTGAAGGTAGTTAATTACTGAAGTTGCATACTTCGCTATTTCAGCTTATTTTAAGGCTCTGATCGTACACTCTGCTTCGAGTTGTTCTATTCCATTTTGTATGCCCAATCAGAACTTAATTTATTTAACTGGACATTAGGTGCAAGTGGATGCCGGAAAAACAGACATGGATAACGCTTATTAAAAGTTGGTATTCGAATTCAATAAGTCGTATCCTTGTTAAACGTACCACAGTATAGTAAAGTTTACTACTTTGCCCTGATTTAGACACTTCATGACTTCCTGAACATTTAGTTGTCACGTATTTGGGTAGAATCATAAGGATTACAGAACGATTCAAAGCAGTAAGATCTCAAAGTAAAACTTGCCCTTTGTGGTTTTTATTCCATAATGCAAGTAGGCACCAATAGCCTACTTAATTTTCTTTTTTACTCTAAGAACGAGAGAAAAGACGTGGTAGCTTACGGGACCTTGATTGAGAAGCTTGTGAATATAAGTGCTGGCCCACGGCAACTAAGGTCAGGCCTTTTCAATGAAGTCCCCTGTCCAGAAGTTGAAGAGGCTAGTGAGATCGGCTATGATGAATCTGAGAAAAAGGTATTTTCTACCAAAATTCATTGTATCAATATACCATTATACACGGCGTTCAAAAAAAATCTTGAAAGTTTTTGCCAAAGTGACCAGCTGATTTCGCGCCATCTTTCAACTGGCCTAGCCTTTACTATGTTTTGCCGATTCAATAAAAAACAGGAGTGTTGCTTAAAATCAGTCGTTTCGTGCAATCAGTTGGTAACCAAGCAGATGTAGTCAGCCAGTAGACATAGAATAAAGGTTACGTTTGCTTGCCAAATGATGCATTAACTTTAGAAGCTAGAGCTGGCAAAACGTAGTCACCGGTATTTAGTCCCATTCTTTAGATTAATAGGATATAATTTCTTGTCGGCCGAATAGTGGTCGCTTTAATTGTGCTGTTAGGACAGTAGTGGTTCAGTCTACATTCTGAAGACCAACTCCACTATAACGCGGTCCCATTTAGTAGTCGCGATGTATGGAAAAATTATGCTTAAGTGTGAAGGACTGTATGTACTTGTGAGTAAAACTACTTAAATTTAGTGCGGTTCATTTCGTCCTACAAATGAGTGTTGCAAAGAGGCGTGTGTAAACACTCCTATCATGTATGATTCGTCTTGTCCAACGTTAGGAGCATTTTGACTGAATTCAGTAACGGTTAACGCACATGACGTCTTTCTACTGCCGGGACTCGCGTTGCAAGCCTAAGCACCAAAGTGAGCAAGTGAAGGGGAGATACCGAGCAAACTTTCAAGGCAATTTTGGTTGGGAGCTCAAGGCGTATCAATCCTTCTGCTATTTCAGCAGCTGACTTATGTGGACATTAACTATTCTAAACTGACCAAATTCTTACATAACTCTACCGACACAAGTAACCTAAGACCTGCAAAAAAGAGATTTAAACCCACCCATTTGTGAGTGCACATTTTATTAGCGAAACTGAGAAACAGGACGGCCTCTAAGATATCCTAAAAATCGACTCTTCACACAATTATGTTGCGAAACCTGATGGGGCGCGTATTACTGGGGAGACGCCACATGATATGCGTATTTTTATTGCAAAGGAGGTCCCAGGTACGCTGTAGGTGATGTGCGTTACCATAATGCGTAGCTGTGTGACCAGTTGAAAGTCAAAGTAAGCTGCAATTCCTGACAAACTGTTGGTTAATATACTACAATAAAGCAGCTGCAGATAGCTGTGAGCACCCACTGCATTTTTAATCAATTTGGCAGTGCCTTTAAAAGATCACCGCTCTCTTCAGAATTTTGAGACACACACTATCAAATGTCTCACGTATCCATAAAAGTTTTACCAATTTTACAAATTGTGTTAACACTGACAAATAAATAGGACAAGTTCGTTCTGAATACCATCACGATCTTGCCAGTATCTGCTCCGGAGGCTGTGCTGACTTGCCTGTTTCAACTTTACTTTTTCACTAACATCTGATGATATCGTTTGATTGTGTTGAGACCGAACTGATCATCCATCTCCTAGGGAATCCGAAATTGGCGAGAAATTTCCCTAACCTTCCAAAAATCGGAAAGGGATCGATTCAAGGACGATTTTCAGCGATGTTGCTTATCGGGAAGTTTAGATGAAATGAAGAATCTTCTTCAATATGTTAAAGCTTCAGACCAACACTATAGCAATATTCAGAAGTTAATTTCAATGTTACATGTAGGTTTGTTCCATAACTATCAATGCAAAAGTGTTAGTATTTCAAAGTATGTTAATTCACTTTTAGGTGTGCTGCCGATTGTATGATATTAGCCAGAAGGTAATGTTTGCATTATTTTGGTTTGTGCTCAAAACCTAAAATCTCTCAAAGCATAGATACTTTCTGCTGCAAGGTAGCGACTGCGTCAAATCTGCAAAAAAAGCACAGTTTAAAGTGGCGAATTCACTGGTAGTCATCATGCTAGCCCCCAAAACTCTTTCATTAACATTGCACAATCATTTAGAATTTCGCGCTACAACCAAGTACTGCAGATTTGGAGCCAAGTTACCAAAATGACCCGATTTTGATGTTTCTTGCACAGACGGTTAATCGAGGTCTAAGTGCGCGTGGATAAGCATGACTCTGAGCCTTGATTAAATGCACGTTTACGGCTCCAGTAACGGTGAGAAGTCGTATCCATGCTGGGAGAATTTGGCGTTATTCTAATAAAAATATTTTCAGTAAATACACCAGATCCGTAAAGTGTACAGAAGACGTCCACTGAGAGGCGTTCTTAAAATTTTAGCAATGAAACGCTTACCGAAATTTATCGTCGTCATAGAAAATACTGCATGGCATCTACCTAAGGTTTCTATTTTGGCTGGGACGGTTATTGGTATTTTGACTGAAGATCATATACAGATTGCGCTTCTAAAGTTTTACATCGAAATATCCATCATTTTGAAGCAGTTTATGCCTGTCGACTTGAATAATGCCATCTCGCTGTGAAAAACCAGGTGATTATTGACCTAATTGCAGCTCCGCGCTTAAAAACTGTATTGTTATGTGTGCATTTGTTAATATGAGATCATAAATGGAATGCATATTTTAGCCTGCTGAAAAGAAAAACTTGTTTATTCTCCAAAATGTAAGTTTGTGAGAGCTTTAAATGCATTTATGACTAGAAAGCCTGCTGCATTTTACAATCACTGCAATTTTTTTTCATAAAATCAGGTGATGCAAAATGCACTGCGTGCCTTATTACACCAATGACTTCCGTCTGATCAGAGTATTCAATGACAGCGATTGTTATACTTACTGTATTTTTCTTTTGATACCTCAAATTACAAAAATTAAATAACTTATGCGATTTATGTAAAAATGGTCTCAATGAAATATTCATGATTTCTGATATATACTTGCACATACACTTTAAATTCGTGATTTATTTACAACGTCTAACGCAATTAATTTTCTTTTAAATTGAAATTCGCAGTGGTTAAAATTTCTTTTTTGCTATTCTTGTGGAAAATTCGCGTCCAAAAATATCCAATAAACTAAAAACAGGTTCATCAATATAAATCGCAAAAAGTTAAGTTAAGAAGATACCACTAATGTGAGATCACGAGTATTATCTCAAAATGCCTGTTCCAAAATAGCCGGTTTTTAAATAGTTAAACATAAGAAATAAAACTAACTATCAAAGAGTAAGCGTATCTATTGTTTTCCTCAACTATTTGCTGCTTGCGGATATTTCGTTTTGCTTCTAGTCTACAATATGCAAAAAACGTCCGCTGAATTGCTGGAACGATAAAACATAATGCCAAGTATAAATTAGCTTTGGTTCTGAGCTTTAAAGTTAGGTCCACAATCGTCCAGCAACTCATCCATATTGTCATTCAATTGAAAAACCCTAATGTTGTTCTAATACTTTTGTAAATTTTCCTGATAATATTCACGTATTGTCAAAAATAGATATTTTCCTAAAAAGAGTACATGTTATGCATCTGTAAATTGTTTTCAGTGCGGCTAAAAATGGCCCTGGCTTAATGTCAAACTCCACAAAATCTAAATAAATATGTGGAATCAGCATCACACATCTGCTTCCGGCCACTGATAAAAGTTGTCAGTGTTATGCTGCACGCAACACATCACTTGCCAATGAGGTCTGGTATTTTTCTACAAGCTACCCGAATTTCGATGAAGTCTTGTAATTCCAAAATTAGACTCTACACCTTTCTGAGTTTATAAATCTGATACTTTTTGGTTGACCCCTTCAGAATGAGACCATTAACAGCGACGACCGAAATCCACAGATTGCTTTATCCTAATAACACGAGGCCAAAATTTCAATTACTTTTTAGTGCGCTCAATCACAGTGAACTGATATGCACTTTGCAGTAAGATTATGTGCTCCATTCTCTGTTATTGACTACCCAGCGCCACTGTAGTATCACGTGCATCATTTGTTACTGGAACAAGAATCGTCGTTGCATTCAATTAAGTTAATCGCCTGCAAATAAGAAATGACTAAATATGATTGCAGATGATTGTCCATAATTGACGTTATGGATTCTAATATGGTGTATTCATTTTACAAGAAGTGATGGGATTAGATCAAGAAACACTGTCCCCTCGTTGAAAATTTATGCGAAATTATTCTTCGAAGTCAGTTATCCACATTTGCGTTGTCGATGTCATTTCATTCACCAAACTTATGCACTTGTTAGGTTTTTAATTTATAACATGTTAAAAGTTCGTGTTGGTGTGCTATATAAATTTTCCATGGGTCAAGTGGAAGTGATTTCTCCAATTGCAAGAGTTTATGCAGGAAGGAACAATCTAAATCATGTTAATAGACACAAGCATCCCATTTGATGATGTCATCTACTAGTAAAAACTAAGAAAAATCAATTTGGTGAACTGTTGTTTGAAAAGGCACAGTTTTTGAGTGGTAAGTAATGTCGAGGTTCTTTAAAGCCAAATTAAGTAATTGATCTAGAGAGAATTTTATGTTTGATATATGAATGAGTACTAACTATTGAAGTGACTAAGCGATTTTGTATCTCCAAAAATCTGGAAACAAATAGTTTGTTGCAAAATTTATTATGCTACGTTTTGGCCTTCCCATTTGCAGTGCGGGAACCGTAGTACACTTTTATTTTCTGTTTTTGCTGCATTACTACACGACATTATCTTGTAAGATGTAATTGCTATTTTTGCTTTATTCGTCACTATTATTTTTTAAAATTTCTTTGTCACGAGTTTTGTGGGCGCTTGTTTCATTGACGAAGTCTGTGCGGAGTGGAATTCAAGAATTTCAGGACAATTTTTGGGCAGTCCACAAAATGCAGCATTGCATTTAATTAACAATTATCAGTGGTTTCTCATTAGATTGTACCTTATTAGGAAAACTTGACCAAACAGAAATAGAGTTAACACTTCTACTCAGGATAATGACTACAAAAATACAAAAGCGCATTTTTTATCGGATTTAAAATTTTTAAACCTGATAAGTTATGTTAATTTGGCTTCACTCAAAATTTCCTAGTAACTTGTAACGATAATACATTCTTTTAATGCTGAGGCCACAGAAAATTTGAATTCTAAGTAAATTGAATGAATATTTTTGCTCCACTTGGTGTCAGTTCCATTAATTAGTTAATACACCTGTGTTTTAATTACGCAAATTGACATACCCTTTGTCATTACTTTTCTAACCCTAACAACCATTTGTGTAAATATTAAAATGGGTCTACTCAATTTTTTCAGACGAAATCACTAAAGTAATATAAAGTGCGTGTACTTATTTTGATTCAGTTTTTTTTATTTCAGCTTTGTTTGTACAGCATTGAACTAGTAACTTACGACGATGCTTGTTTTATTGCATAAAATGTTGCAATTGCTATCAATGCTTGGTGGCTTTTTTAATTGACGCCTTTCTTGTGGAACTTCTGTGCTTTGAGGTATTTGAATGACCGAAAAGCCTAGGAAAGCCGATTTTTATGTTTGATTGCTATTTACATGGTTGCATTATATTTCTGTATTCAAAAAATTGAGCTCCTAATCACCATGTTTGTATGCGTTTCTATTTTCGCTAGTACACTCCTGTTCATTTAACTTGTTTGTTCGTTAAAATGCGGTACTTTTATCTCTGTACATGATTTGCTGCTTATTTTATTTCATATTCTTTTGTGTTTACCTGAATAAACCCGCTCTTAGCTGCTTCATATTAAGACTGTGTTCGGTCATCCAATTTAGCCAATACACGAGGACTTATAACGTAAATCTGTTGTCATATAGTCTGGTGAAAGCTTGATCAAACATGGTAAAGTCCAGTCTCGTCGGTTTTTATGGAGCAGGTTGTGCTTTGTGTATCATCTATAATTTGCTGATTATGCGTGGCTATTTTGCGTTTCTTTGTTGTGCTTGTTCATGAGGCTCTGTCAAAACGTAATTGTGTTTTCTAATAGTCTGTTTTTTAGTAATACATCGCGTGGTATCAGCATCTTCCCCACTGTCACTATACTCAATGGTGTTAGCACAGCGTCAGAAAGACGAACTGTACGTTTTTAATTTTTACGTAACGTGTACAGGAACCGTGCAATTGCAGATTACCTCAGTTCAAATGGCTACGAGCAAGCTTTGGTTGAATTCAGACGGGAAGCCAGCCTGGTATTTTTTGCAGTAATTATTTTAATTTAATGTTCTGTAGGATTCTGATATAGACCACAAGTTTGCTGGGTTATTAGAAAAGAAGTGGACTTCTGTAATCCGACTCCAAAAAAAGGTGAGTGGATTCGTTTTAATTTGCCAAGTTTATAAATGGGTGTCAATATTCCGAATATTCTTACACATTTAATGTTTGTCCTATGCCGCCAACGAGCTGTCACTGTATTGCTTCAAAAAGGTGATTACAGGGGAATAGTATCATGCAAAATCTTGGCCTGCTTCCTTTTAATCTATACCTTTAGGTAATGGATCTTGAGGTGAAACTGGCCGAGGCTGAGAAGGAGAATGCTCTTATGCAAGCTGGTGGAGGCTATGGGCCCGTTGGGGCCGCACCTGGCTCCGGCTTGCCCGGTCGCGGTGGCGACCGTCGTGGAGGCCCCGATGCCATTCCAAGGCCCCCTGCTAAGTTTACGCTCACCGGCCACCGCTCAACGGTCACTAGGGTCAAGTTTCATCCTCAGTATACCGTATTTGTCTCAGCCAGCGAAGATGCCACTATAAAGGTTAATTTTTTTAAACTCTAATCCAAAATTGTGGTGTAACTCTTGGTTTCCTCAGGGGATGCCTCCTCTCCAATCATCTCCATTAAAATGTGACAACTGGAAAGTTGGCATTAAACAAAAAAAATATGTATAACTTTTAGTTGATTTTATACAATTAGGGTTTTGGCAGGGTTATCGTTTAAATTCAGTAAATTGCTATATCCTATAGACTGTACTTGGCTTGCCTCCCATGCAGTCACTTTTCGGTCTTGAATTTTAGTGTGTTTAATTATATTCCCGCCACCACCTCATAAACTTAAATACTGGCCAGCGTTTATTTCATTGTTAATTATTATACGAGTGTATGGATTTCATGCCAGAATATCTCACCGTCAATGTTTCTCTTTAAAAATGACCATTTCTCTTCAAGCGTGAAGATCCAAGTGGCATTTCCCTTCATGCATAGCCTAAATTGTGACATACAGCTATCACTGGGAGCTAGTTATGCCAGAGCACCTTCAAGATATGGACGTAACCTGTATGTTTTTTGTGCCTGCATGATATGAGTCTACATTCTTCGCTATAGTGGTTTTATCCGCAAGTATATTATTATGAGAGGAAACATTTTGTCAGTTTATAACGGGTGAGAACCTCAAGTTCATCAAACTGGTGCGTTATAGACGTTGGTGTCAACACGGTTTGGGCTCCATTTTAATTTTAGGTGTGGGACTACGAGATGGGTGAATTTGATGCGACGTTAAAAGGACACACAGATGTAGTACAAGACATTGCTTTTGATCCTTCTGGCAATCTGCTTGCTTCTTGTTCTGCGGATATGCAAGTCAAGTTGTGGGATTTTACTACCTACACGTGCATAAAAACTCTTTCTGGTCACGACCACAACGTCTCGAGTGTCTGTTTTCTACCATCAGGCGACTTTCTAGTGAGCGCAAGTCGAGACAAGACAATCAAGATCTGGGAGGTCGCTACCGGGTGTGTCTTTATCAGCTTTATCTTACGGGTCGATTTTTTACAATGCTGTTCAAATTTACTTTGTGTGGATTTTGCAGTGCTGTTTGCCGTAAACGTGTTATTTTTATAAGTAATCTTTTAATAAGGCGGGAAAGTAGCTGTCAAGCCTACTGTTCATCACCGTTTTTCTACCACTGTGTAGTATGCGTTATTGTATTCATTGCATTATGTAGCTATTTTAATGCTAATTTATGTAATATATTATATTAGCATGCATAATATATGTTTAGTGGCGCCGTGTAGACGTTCGTTTTGCACATGCGTCAAAGGGCAGTTGTGCTAAATGCTTCTATGAATTCAAACCAATGATCTAACTTCAAGAAAATATGTCTAAGCATACTTAAAACTGTCTTATACAAAATTAAATAATGTGCAACTTCATTATCTTTTACGCATATTTGGATGCTGAGGACAAACGTAATTCAATCAGTCGGATCTATCATTCAACTTTTAAACTAATGGCTAGTTTAGTCGACTTAAAATGTTTTTCTAGTTTGTTTTATAATGAATCACTTTCGTTTGAGCAGAATGTGTCCTCATCCCGTTCCTTTTTCCCATACACGCGTATAGGTACTGCGTAAAGACGTTGACTGAACACAAAGAATGGATTCGTTGTGTTCGACCAAATCCTGAAGGTAATTTGCTTGCTAGCTGTTCCAACGACCAGACCGTACGTGTATGGGCCATTGGGAACGCGAGGGAATGCAAGGCTATTGCGGTCTTACACGGACACGACCACGTTGTGGAATGCATTGCCTGGCTGACTTCGAATGAACCCCAAGTCACTAGTGCCATCTCCTCAGCTGCCGCTGTCAGTGAAAATGGATCACAGTGGCAACAGATCAACGGTGGTGACGTAGCCACTAGCGAGTCTGCCAATGATGCGCCCATTATCTTAGCCTCTGGCGGTCGCGATCGACAAATTTGCATTTGGGACGTTAAATCTGCCACGTGTCTATTCACATTGGTTCGTTGCTCGTTATACTATTAATTCATCAGTTATATTTTGTATAAACTTTCTAATCTGGAAATGCCTGGAATAGCTTTTAAATTAACAGAATGCTAAAACCAGTTTATAACTCAAGTCTGTTACCCAAACTGGTAAACTTAAAACCGTTGCAAATTGTTGGGAGTTCAATTTGTCTGTGAACTCTCTCCTTGAGACCATGTACTGTTCATTTGTTACCACTGTTGCAGAGCCAGCAAGATTCGTAATGCACACAGTTAGACGCAGGCCTCCTTTAGCTTATGAGAGACATTGTTGTGAATTATGTTTTATCGATGTTGGGTTTGCATATGTCTGGTCATTCTCTTTGTCGGCAAGTTTCGTTAGTTTTTATCTCTATCTCGAAGATGAATACTGCGTTCCGTAAGGTTAGTTCGTTATTATTGTAGTATGCACCAGTGTCGAAAGCCTATTGGAGGTACGATATTTGCTCAATTTTCTGCTGACCATTGACGGCGTGCACTGATCCTCAACGGTGTACTTTTCGCCTCAAATGTTTGTTTCTCAGTCAAATCCACGGCATTTCTTGTCGACCTGTTTTTCTTCACAACACCTCATAATCCCGACAAAAATTTTTTCTCCATTTTTACTCCAGAAGTGAGCAAAATGGTTGATGGTGTTTCTAACTTATCCCGTTTTTAATGGGAGCATCAATTTTGTTATGTCTGTACTTCTATGACTGACACGGAGACCTTGTAACTCCCCTCAGTCGATGAAAAGGCAGGCTGTAATCATCAACTTAATTAAAATCCTTGAAATCTTGAAAATTAATTTTTTAACTGCCTCTATTATGTTTGTGTCAGGCCTAGTAACCACCGTTCAACAGTTGTGGGATTATTTCACGTAATTGAAAGGATCCCGGGAAAGTCAAACTAGTCAGGTTTTGCTCATCAAATTCTTGGTCTAACAAATGTTGGCCCTTGTATCGGAAATGGAGTTAACAATCAAACAATATGCATTACCTCCAGGCTAAGAGTGTGGCCTGATTTGATTTATTCGAACCCAAGAAATAGGGTACCTGGAATAAAGCCGTTGATGAAGTTGCTTGTCTCCAAAAAGGGTTTAGCTCTTATGTGACACTTGTTCAAGATCAAAACTGCTTATGAAAAACGTAACCTGATGTTGCCCCTGTTCTCGGCTCCCTAGTCGTTATCAATTTCCCCGTTTCATGGCTTAATTGATTTTGCATTTTAGATTGGTCATTAAAGTTAAGCCATTCCTTCTACATCAAGTGTCTGTGTAAAGCACATTTCAGCCTTGTTTTTAAACAAACTCCGTCGTGAGTCCTTAATGATTAATTCTTAATTTTCGTCCTTATATTTAGGCCAAAGTTTGGTCCGGCTCATTTGCACTACCATTATGCTCACCTTAAATGCCTGGTTTTATTGTCCGTTGGGAAATAAACCAATGTAGTCAGTGGTCGGTCGTCGCTGTTGCGACATCCTGCATATGCCGCTACAGGCACAGACTTACGACACTTCAGTCTCTCCGAACTTGGGCTGTTTTCCGAAGCTGTTCTTGCCAAACAAGGTCTTGCAGTTCACTTAAGCTAATGAGACTGCATTTTCTAGCTGAATTAAGCCCTAGCCAGGATTGGACACTGTTGAACTTCGTGCACCTCCACAAGTCTCCTCAAAATCGGCTTGTTAAGGGGTGTTTGAAATCTAGCAGAAAATTAAAGCACGGGTGCCTTGAAATGGTAGAATAGAGAAAACCCCATCTTTGGACGTCTTTGCATGTTTTCCAAGGACAAATTCCACAAAGCAACGCATCTAGTTCTGAATGATGCGACGGAATGTGTTTTATTTTCCTAGAGGCCCTGACAAAGAGTTAGTAGAGCTTGTTTAGCTTACGGTCAGGTTAAGTTCTTGAAAGCCATAGGTTATCCTAATCATCGTCTTACTTATTGCCATACTCAAATTTGACCTTGTTTCACTGGACAAGTGCAGAACAAGTGTGTCTTCGGTTAGATTTGCAGTTTCAATGGCATTTGTTTTGTGTATGAGCATTTTTTAAACAAGGCTCTCAATTTGATTCAGATGCTCGAAAAATTCCTTTACGCCACTTTGACGTCCGGTTGTGGTTGAATGCAAGTAACCTTAAGACTGCCCTATAAAGTATTTCAACAGAAACCACGTTTTCTTGAAAGTCTCTTACTTTTTGGTGGTGGTTTTATTTACTTGGGCACACTCATGCATGCTTTGTCAGGTGTTTGTAATCATAGGCGTACATACAATCAAAGGATTTCAACCAAACGCGCCAGAATTTCGTTCCCTCGTAAATGGACAATTATGCGTTTCAGATTGGCCACGACAATTGGATTCGGCAGTTGGTCTTCCATCCTTATGGCAAATATCTGCTCTCGGCATCTGATGATAAAACGGTTCGTGTTTGGGACCTAAAGAATCGTCGTTGCCACAAAACTCTCGATGCGCATTCACACTTTGTCACCACATTGGGTATGTCCGTTGATACCTTGGGTTTCGCCTTTATTAATCGTAAGATTTTGCTTTTAACACCTTTACTTCCTGATAATTGCGATTTTAAACATTCAGGTTCCGTGTAAGCCTTCGCTACGTCTTTTTTCCTTCGTTTTTAGATCTACGTAAAGGCGTCCCCTTTCTCATCACTGGCAGTGTAGATCAGACAATTCGAGTCTGGGAATGTCGTTGATGGCCTCACTTCAATTCAAGCCACTCCGGTCCCTACTTTTCTCCTCATTTGTAGCCGCTTTCATCACACACATACACAGGAGTCCATTGAACCACCCTCATCCCCTCAAATACCAGAGTTTAGACTTCCCTAATCACCAGTCTGAATGGACTGTGTGCTGCTGTTTGCGTGCGTATTTGTACATCACACATTCTTGTTCCCTCTCAGTTCCTGTCGCGCGTCAACTCACTGTAATGGCAACATGTAGCTACAAAATGATGTGTGAAGGTAGCCCTCAGATCTTTTCGACACTCACTTCCACCCCACACTTTCCATTCATGAATGTGTTGGCCAAATCTTGTCCTCTTGTGTTGCCCCGTTGTCGCTGCGCGCCCCCTCGTCATGCCCTCCACTGAGATTCAGGCACACAGCCAAACGATTATCCTTGTACATTCGCCAACCCTTTTTACATCTTTGGTTGAACTTCGTACTCCACCGCTTCTGATTTTTCGTCGTAACCAGCCAAACATGTGAGCTGCTAAATCCTTGTGCTGGTTCCATTGACATTGGTTACCAAATAAGCTTCTTCTCGGCCTTTGTCTTTAGTTGGCTCTGTTCTCTCACGCCTTTTAATGAGTTAATGGGGCTGAAACCTACCCGGGGTTTTTCGACTACTAACCCAGATCGATCACTAGTTTTGGTTTCAGCAAATTTGGATAGGAACTTGTTTCCTCCGAATTGTGTCTGTTCATCTTAACTTCTTATTGTGATGGTTCTTCGTACATTGCTATTAGGAAATCCTCCTGAGCTAGCGAGGGATTGATTGCAGTTTAGGAGCCTCACTTCATAACTTATAAACAGTCATTCGAGTGGTGTCGCTTTGAGGCATTTTAGTGAACCACTTGGGGTTCAAGTAATCGTGGCTCGGGATTTACCGTGTCATGCATCTTTATCACAGGTCAAAGAAAAACGTTTGAATGCACAGTTAAGAGTGGTTGTACACTTTCGATGGCAGGCGTAGAGGTTTTGTAGGTCTTTCATCCACCCGATGTCTTCAGTACTACGCCCAGACCTGTATGAAAGCACGGAAATTTCAATTCAGAACTGGCCACGAAATGTTTGTACTTATTTGAACTCAATTTTTTTCTCAAAAAAGTAAAATAACAAAAATCTAGAAAAACTGAAATGGGGGAGGTGGGTGGGTTCGCTACTTTATTATAATTATTATATTTAAGAAGCGCTGGCGACGTTTCGGTCGCTAGAGAGTCGTGAACAGCAATTGTTGGTGCTATTAGACAATGTTTCATGTTACAACTTAAAACAGCATCTTCCCGAGTACGTTCCTAAGAACTTTCAAGTACATGTGCCCACTGCAACGTCAGAGTAGTGCCATTTATGGCTAAGCTTCATGGAGAGAATATTCTTCAAAAGAGTTTGTGTATGACATATTCATGGATCTTCTTTGCTCCATTTTTACAGCATGGGGAACAATTGTGCAAAGCCAGTGATCCCCAACACTGGCCCTGAATAGGCATAAACCCCGTAGTCGACTTCTTGAAATTCCATACTTCTCAGTTTGTCTAGAATTACAACCGGAGATAGGCAGTTCGTGAATTAGTTTGCTTATCTAAGATATGTGACTTTTTTCATTAAGAGGTAACTGCACCACTTTTTGGGCTAACTTTTAAAAGATCCCAATTATAGTATTTTAAACAATTTGTCCGAATATTATGATTGCTTGTCTCTTTAAAATCATGAAATTTTGACTCGATTAAAGATTGATCAATGGGCCCCCAACATAGGTCCAATCCCTGTGATAAAAAACAACCACTTTGTCCGCCTGAAACACAGTGTTGAGTCACAGGCGAATGTAACCATGTAGGTTCATGGTCCCAAGCTGGCTGAAGTAGAATTGAGATTTTCATGTCTGTAAGCGCATTCGGCATAATAAAGTACAAAATAATAACTTACACGTAAAGTACTATCCCAGCTGCCAGTGCAGATTGCATTTCCATCGGGACAGGTGCGAAGAGCCGAGACACGATTTTCGTGCCCATAAAGAATAACTATTCGTTTTCCTTTGAGAGTATCCCAAATATTCAATGCATGGTCATTGTATCCCCCGAAAAGCAACCTACCTGTAATAAAATTAATAACAATATAATGTCGTAGAAAACAATTTATGATTAATATGCTGCAAATTTACCATGGCAATTCACCAAAACCATCTTTTGTCATTTGGTTCTATAGCCGACAATCAGTAAAAAAAGGTGGCCAAGTTCCGTCTGACTTTGTAGGTTGACTAGTTTAAAAAAATAATTATATAAAACTGAAGAAAATAAATTGCTATTAACCAAGTACTGGTTTTAATTAATGTAAGTGAGCCTTTACCACTGAGAGAAAAGTCAACTGCGTTGCATCCAAAAATCACGCTGTCCTTTTTGTAAACGCATAGTTCACGATCTGTTCGAAGATCAAATAATCGTATGGTTGCATCATCAGAGGCGGTTGCAAAAGCATCCCCGCTTGGAAAAAATCTGATTGAGTTAATATCTGATTCGTGGCCCTGGAATACTTGGACACATTGCCCACTGCGGATATCCCAGACGTTTGCGCAACGATCACAGCTCTAGAATAAAACACTCGCATAAACGAGAATCGGGATTCTGAATCTCATAAAATATATAAAAACTTACTCCAGAAATAAAGACTTTACCACATTCTGAAGGTGACCCATCAATGCACATGACGTCATCAGAATGGCCATGGAAACTTTGAATCATCTGGGCAGATTCAACATCCCAAAGAATACAGGAGCTATCACCGCTTCCTGTTAAAAGTTGGTGATCGGACAAATTAAATAAGCAACAAGAAAGATAGGAACTGTGAGTTGCGACTAATTTTTTTCTAAGAGCTGGATCTTCATCCATCGATACAGGATACATTGTGCATTTATTATCTAAACCTCTTTAAAAAGTAACTCGCAAATTATTTCTTACCCACAGGCAACAAAACTATTTGATGGACTAAAGCAACATGCCATTACCCATGTTGTAGGCATTGAAACACAAATTTCCTAACATCAAATATAATAATTCGTGTTACTTTTGTAGATGTTAAGGCATCCCATATGAGAAGTTTTCCATCCTGAAATTGATAAATATCAGACAATGGGTACCTGAGATGTGCTAACAATGTGTCTTTTGTCCAAAGACCATGCAAGACTAAGGACCTTGCCTTGATGTCCTTTTAGTACACGGCGTATTTTAATATTCAACGTAGGAATTGATTCAAAGTGCTCACTCATAAAAGTAACTAAATTCCTATTACGCGTGATGTTAAGTACTTTCGCCATCATTAAGTCGTGATTTGTCATCTTCGAGTCGCCTTTTCAGATTTTCAGCCTCTTTAAGAAGTTGGGGCTCAGACGAATCTTCCATTAAAAAAATTTCAAAGAATTCGCTAGGTTTCGGTTGTATACATGGGATGCAAATGACAAATATAAACAATATGTCATTTACTAAAACATGGAAAATTTAATTTGTATATTTTTGCATCTGTTTTACTAAAATGTCATTGACTATATGTAAAAGTGACAGGACTTTATGATTTGCCAGTGTTATTGTAATTTAGAAGAACTAAATGTGCAAATCTGTTTCATTATTAGTGATTTATTTTTATAATTAAAGTGACTTTATGTTAATCTACACCAAATTTTAAGGCTAAAGTATATACATTTGGGTTTTTTTTGTCAATCGTTTTCCTTTAAATTTTAGCCAAGTTGATGTTTTAAAAATGATTATGGTTTCACAACCTGAATGATCGATATTACTCCTGTTGATGAAAACAAGGCAGAAATAAGTCACTATGAAAGTCTTGCATACTTCGTCAAAAACTAAAAGGCTTTATAAATCCCAATTCCATTTTAGTATCAACTACTACGATCCATGCAGGATATTTGTTTTTTTTATGCAATGCGTTTAAGTTACTAAAATCATTGTAACATGTTGTAGGTTAGCATGCTTTATATAAAAAAAATAATTTTATTTAAATCAACTGAGTAATTTCGATAAATGTTGCTTGATTGTTTTGGAAGCTAGAATTGGCAACTCAATGTCTTTCTAATAGAAATTTGTACTCCTGTTGCTACACGTTGTAAGTGTAGAGGATGTTCTGACGGGCTCTTCGAAACCATCCTAGCCAAATATGCAGTACTCAAGGGATACCAATCTTATCCAACGTTCATCTTTTCACAACGTAAGTTTATGGAATTACTTTAAATACCTACTTAAGATACCGTACGTGAATTTCATTTCTTATAAATGTCTATCATAGTAGTTGCACATTTCATAAGTGTAGTATGATTTATTATTGTAGGTACTGAAGCTTAAGAAAATTCCAATCAATTTTTTAAATTAATTTTTAGTTTTAAATCCAATCCTAAACCAAAGCAAATTGAAAAATTAAAAAAAAGTAAAAAGTGTGCGATTGTTAAATTGTTGTATTTATTGATGTGAATATTGTGAATGAGTGGATTTGGTACCATTAATGCATAAGGACAACTCATTGCTCTATATACCCAATGACACCGATAATTCGGTTATCTCTAACGAAATTGCTAAGCGATGCATGTTTATTATGAAAATTACTACTTAAAGACGCTTAGGATATTTTAATTCCAGGCGAAATATTATCTACAAAGATCAAAATCCTCTTCCTAGATTTGTTTGAGTTGTTGGTGTGTATTTTGGGTTATTGTGATCCCAGGTTAAGAAAGCTAGCCACTTTCAAGCTTCTGACGGAAAATGCCGCCTTCTTCTGCACTTAAAGTGTTTTACCGACGTGCACCACACTAAACCCACTGATCTTGAAGGTTATGACACTTCCATGTCCATTAGTCTATACTTCGCAGCTAAGCACCAGTGTTATGGCATACATTATTATGGCAATTCATTTAAGCAAGCTTCGTCAGATTCCTGACATTAATTGACGCTAAATTAAGCTTTTATGACGGTCAAAGATTTACCTAGGCCCTTGAATGTTGTATAATTACACTTCTAATATGCACTGGTATTCTAGAATAATTTATTGAAATAATTTCGGAACGGTAAACAATCCATACACACCAAGTGAAACGTCATTTATCCTTCACAATTCTGAGTGTACTCGGACGAGTTTAAAATGTTTGTAGACCACAGTCACTTTGTTTTAGCTTTATCAGCATGATCAGAATAAACTATGTTCTATGTAAGATAAAAAAATAGTTTTATCGATAATTTAATGGGTCCCCCACTTAAGTTGAGACTAGAGTCAGGTCAGGAAACACTTTTAGGTAAATAAAAAAGCCTATGTAAAGTTACAGAAGGATCAGTCTCGGCGATCAAAATTAAATAGTTTCTATCAATTGGCAAAAAAGCAAAAGATGAACTGTAATCTAGCTTGGATGTGCCTGAACAAAAATGGTGGTTGCTTCAGTGGACAGAATAGGTAAAATATGACAACTTGCAAATGTTGTGGCCATAGGTTTTTAAGGAAGTGTTTTTAGCGAATTAATAGTGATGCAAGATTCAGCTCATTATTAAAGTCCACTAGTCACTTCCTGATGAAGAGTATCATATTCTAGTACCAACCTGATTGTGTGACAAACGCACAGCTTGTCTCAATATAACGGTAACCTATTGACAAGCTATCCTCATAGGCCGAGGCAAGGGTAGATTACAAAAGCATGGAATAACGTCTCTGTGGTGTCAGTCATAGTTATGAGTATCAAACAATGCTCTTGGAGCTCCTTAACGCATTTTTAAGCAGTACCAGTGATTTAAGACGCCCGGTATCCCGAATGTGCTAAAAGTTGTGGACGCAAAACAGAGACATTCAAAGCGAAGTTTTGTTTTTTATACAGGGGAACAATTTTGATATTATGACTGAACTAATGACTGCCAAAACTCAAATTTTAACACGTGTTATTCTCGTCAGTTTTAGACTGAAGCAACTGTATTTATTACCTAAGGAAAGTCTCATTTCACATCAGCGATACTTGGGATGACTCTGCAAGTATGGTTGCTTATGTCGAAAAAGGTTCCTGTGAATCGCGTTAATTCATACTCGCTAATCTGATCACTCCAGCCTCTGACATAAGGTCCCCCTTCTCACAGCATATTGCCAGCCTCGCGGATTCTCAACTCCCCCCATTCGCACGAGTATTTATACTGGAATATCCCCACACCAAGGTCTGGATGTTAGCGCATCTACGACTCACATATCCAAGGTATAAATACACACGCGCAAACCCCACATACGACAGAACGACACCAACTTGGTTGGGCTCTGAAGTAAATGGTCGTGTTCACGTCCTCTCTGGTCTTTTTACCGCCGGTAACAGGGAAGATTAATCTGGCCAGATTCAACTCAGTGATTCCAGCGTGGTTCAAGACTAGATGGGGCCCACAACAAGTAGTGACGCAACGCGATGAAGGTTCTTCAAATTCCACAACAAGGCATTCAGCTTGATTATTCTTATTGTTTGGTTTAAAACACTAACATTTATGTCGCCCTAGTGACTTAGACATGGCAAATTGGCGGTGTGTATGAGCTAGGTCCAATGTGCATTTAAATAGTTCACAAAGTTTTCCAAACGCAGTCAGTTTTTAAATTAAGTAGAGTTCACTAAATGCATTATGGGTAGGAGTCGAATGCCGTTTAGATTGACGCATAGACGAATATCATAACACATGCCAAAATACACGTGATGGCAAGCCATGACATGGTTAAAACTGCAGTCTACACCTGCTGTAGGGCTTTTAAAGACACACTTGATCATATCCTAAAAAGGAGTGAATCGCTTTTATGTCAGCTCTTTTCCGATTCTGGGATGGGCCAGGTTTACTTATAATCCCACGTTAATGATTTTACCAAGAACCATGTCAGTTTCTTATCCTCCTCATTTCAGATTCAGGCATTAATTTTAAAATCCAAATGGATATATAATTAGCTACAGAAAGCAATAACTGTTGAGGCAATACGAATAGTCTGCATTTATCTCTGATCCGACAGTATTGCAAGATGCATTCTGTCAAACTTTCACAGGTCTCATTTTGTGGTGTTAAGTGGTGTTATACGTGAATACCAAGCGAATTTTGCTAAACACCGTTTTTGCAGACCTAATGAAACGGTGGCCGTCAGTGCTCAAAACACTCACAATAATTCGCCAGAATGATTTTATTAAATTTGTGAATAACTTTCTGCCTTCCCCCCATAAAAGGCCTTAAATACATCATTACTCCATTCACTTTAAATGGTCTACATACGTGTGTAGAGAAAAAGTAAAAGAGGAATTAATAAATCGTGCGCCCTGACCAAATGAGCGCACACACACGTTAGATTATACACATTGGATTTCCTCGAATTGGAACGGGGTGTCGAAGACACTCGAGCTGTGTACAGAATGGAATCTCAGAGGAAAGTCCGAGAGGTGGCGACTGTTGAGTTAAACGAGGGCACTTATTCAGTTGTGTGAGGAGTCTCTTTTGAATGGGCTCCTAAAGACTGATCGCCTTCGGGTTTTTGTGTCGCCTGGATCATGTTCATGTTCATTACTGGAATTCCTGGAAAGCACTTTTCTCCTACTCTAAAGTCAAATTCAAAATGTGATTTTAAAGTTGATAAGTTAAGATGCTGACATTCATGAATGCAATTATCAGAAAATAAAAAAAACTGTTGTGTTTATCATGAAATGCTCTCAGCGTTAAATTCAACGATCACACAAAACGTTCCGGCTAGTCAACTACTTGTAATGTTTTGTTCAACCATTTCAACTAAATGAAACCATTTGTTCATAATCATTTTAGTCTTAGAGAAAGTCTAATTAATAATAAAGAAGAAAAAATGACAGTAATAAAAACACTGGTTTTCGTAACAAGTTAGGCAGTTGTTTGTCCCAATATACATTTCTTTAGTTAATCTGCAATGACACCCGCAAGATCTTTGCATTATCTTTCGAGTGTGATTGCACAGTCACCTCCAACAACCATCGTATCTTACGGATTGAATCAGTTCAACAGATCCAGTATACATTTTGTAAAACTATAAGAATTATTTTAAAAATTTTGCTAAAACCGGATCTGTAGTTAAAAACTAGACTTGACGAGGCTTAAGCTAACTTCTATCCGAAAAAATCCTTTTCTGAACCTATTTCATAAACCCGAAGTATTACTATTCAGCATGACAATCAATTTCTTAACAAAGAACCCTACCAGTTTTACTTATTATGGAAACATAAATACAAATGTGATGTTTTTAATCGCAAGGTGAAGCGAGCCCATGTAGATCCAACGATAAAAAATTAATCTTGTATTGAAAAAACATTGATCTTATGAAACCACTTTCTCGTTAGCCAAGAGTACTAGCAATCCGAATTTACTCAAGGCTGAGCTTAGTAAAAAACCAGGCTTGCCACGATAGGTCACTAACAGATAGAAAAACGTTTTCATGTGAGTCTGACACATTAGCAATCACCGTGCGTTTTTTTAAACTGAAAACAAACTTACCTTGCTGTGTTTATTAGATTTGATGTCCATTATAATAACAGCCTCCTGACCGTCAGAATCAAAGGAATCCTTTGGTATCTCCGATTCCGGTGTCCTAGTTAGACTAGGACCAGGGTCGTTAGACACCATCATTGGTGATGACATATGATCTGTAGTGACAGATTGCTGTGCTGTCGTTACGGGAATTTGAAACGGAGTGTTAGACCATTCAACAGGGTTTGCAGGAGGCACTGTGGAGGTAATTATTGAGTCTTCTTCTCCCTCCCCGTCATCGTCAACATAGTTGATATCTAATCGATCGTTGTCAGCAGAAATACGAGATCTTGAGAGTTGTCTTGACTCATTCTGCAGATAAGAGGCAAGTATTGGCAATCAATAGAAGTTGGCAGCTGGATTTAAATTATTTTGGGTTAATTTCACACAGGCAACCCAAAATAAAGTCCTATTAACTTTGAGAAAACCGAAAAATTATCAGAAAACATTATTGATTGATCAAAGCTTGTTTGAGGAAAATAGCCAGTACATACAAATAAGTACGATTCTCTACATTTCACACCATAGTTGCCATCATCGATTGACCTACACTAGTCACTTGATTTTTCTCTGAAGTTCGAATCACCAAATTGAAGTTGATAACTTGATAATTTAGTTGATCTATGAAACGAAATAAGCCATGTGTTTTCATTTGGAATAACAATCCAAATGGGTCATGATGACGAAGTACAAAAAATTGACAAATAACTGTAAATATAAGACTTCTAAAACGCAGATTGAGTCAGAATTAAGTAGACTAGAAACTGCTAGACAATCGAATGCTAGCTAGGCAACTACTGTCAACTCAAACAGTTAATGTGACAACTCACAGGTGTTAATCTGGATAGCTTGCTTTTTAAAGATCTACTGCTGTGTATCTTTTTCAGATAGAAAAGCGTAAATAAATCTGCCGAATCTTGCAGTGATACTCGAAGGAAAGTGTCACTTTCTCAGAAAATTATTTGGAATATTGAGGCAACCATTCAGCGCAACTCTTTGTGCCAAATAAGTGAATACCCTCTCCTATTTATTGACAAGGAAGTCTAAACTATCAAAATTATGCTTGAGATTAAAATTTCTCTTTCAGGTTTGATCTTTAAAGGAACTACACGGAAAAAGTAGTTGGCAATGCTCAACGGAAACAGCACTGCTGTCAACACCGACTGGTTTGGTCAAAACTTCCCACACAAATAGTTTGGGCGTCTTGTTTCTACAATGTATCCTCTTCGTTCACCTGATCAATTTATTCGGAAATATTTTCCTCTTTCTGTGATGAGAAACGGAGGACCATTCAGAAACTGACCACAAAGACAACGGAATATTGTGTAAAAATCTTTGGGGACATGATCCAACTCTTGATAGTCATAGAACTTCTACGTACATCGAGGAACGCGGTCGGTATTTCAAGCACTTACGACAATTATGCTGCAGATGACAATTTTCGTGTGTATTTGATGTAATAATGCAGGACATGGAAATCAACAAATTCTATAATTTGACTGAAATTATGATTGTCTGATAACCTAGATTTCGCTCTGATGAATCTGGTGCTCACAACTTTCACCACATTTTATGCTTGAATGCTTGACATCTTTACTCATCCCCGCGAACACCCTGTGGAGTCTCTTGGCCCCAACTCACTCTCCACCCCGATGAACTCCAGCGTGTATCATGGGCCCCCTTTATGAGTGTAAACAAACCCCGTTAATCCGCCATGTTACCACCCAATCACTCACATTCCCCTCTGCTGAACACACTCAAATTCAGCAGCTTACTAAACGGTAGAGCCTCCGTCGACCCTGGTCTTCGCATTCTTATAAGGTCGGGCTCTGGAACAATAGCTGCGTGCGCCGATGATTTAAACGAACCATTTAATTTTATTATCACTACAGTGTCAAAATTCCAGATGTTTTGTACACCACAACATACCAGCGGTAAACGGCATTGCAAATTGACATTTTCTAGGCATTTTTTAGGCTAGAGTCATAAAAATGGCCTTCAAGAACCACTACGATTTAAAGGTTGCAAATTTAATGCCCCATAATTATTGTTTTGGAGGTCTAAGAATCAACAGTGTGACGAGTCGTATTAAAACACCCCCATAAACTTAAATAAAAAACCAGGTTTAAAAAGAGTTATGCAGTTTGTTGCAGGATAATTCAGTTTCATTCACCCAAAATGAGTTTTTCGGCTAACACAGAATGAGCTTATGGGAAAAAAAGATATTCCTTTTGCTGATGTCATGGGAAACATTAACGCGAAAGAGCATAGTGATGTAAATTGGTCTGCATGATTAATACAAGTGTACCTCGTCAGTTCAAGTGGCGATGCGTATCTGGAAGTTCCTGCTAGTTATTGAGATTGATTAGGCAGAGTGGTGAATAAGTGAGGCAGACCCCCTTCAGCTTAGCTTCAGGGAGCTTAGATAGCACTCCAGTCACATGGTTGGACTTCTGACGCAATTATTTCCATTAGCCGATTGTAACAGCCAGATGCTCGTGACAACAATTGAGTCAGACGAGTGAAATCTTATTGGCAATTACCTCTTGTGGTTTCCCAGGTGGTTTCCGAGGCCTTGCAATCGATTCAAGGTCACCGCTGTTCGGATAAGCCTTAGATCGAGCCCTGCTAGAGCTATGAGTGGAGGGTCTTGACTCACGAAGCGGTTGAATTCCCCTCTCGCTCTCGGTTGATCCATAAACAGGGTTCCTCCATGAATCATTGTCATCGTCATCTCCTCCGTTGACTAGTCGTGGCTTTCCTTCACTGGAGACACGTGGGATTTCACGGAGAAAATTAGAGGGAACCAGACCTTGCCGGCCAGACGACTCAAGTTCGCCGACGTAGAAACCGTCTTCGTCCATCTCGCTGAGTATCAGTATGCGGTCTCCCGCACGGAATTTAAGCTCCGTCTAACAAAAACGATAATTCAAAATCGCACTCCGCAGAATGTTAGAAACCATTATACACTGCAACAAACTTTCTTGACATGACACCCATAACGACAACAGAAATACAGTTCATTGAAACGGTAGCATATGTACTCTACCCAAAACATTCCAGTCTTGATCTTCTATTTCAACATCCTGCCTTCAGGTATTGCAAGATGAACCGCAAATAATCGGGATAAAAAAACTAGCATTCTACGTGGCATTGCAAGATTTTCACACCACCGCGAATATGAGTGGTTTTATTGACTATGGAGTAACAGTAATGCTATTAGTGGGACCATCGTCTGTTGGGTCATTTTAAGGTATTTCAAAAATTTCAAAGTTGACTTTGAGTTTATTGACAGAACTGCCTTAGGAAGCAAATGGCTACTTTGATACAAGTCCAGTCCGGACATACTGAAGAGAGGTCGAGAATGAGGCTCCGTGTGCTCAGTTCTTTAAACCCTTAACAAAGGAGTGAACTCCGCAGCAGTTTTCTTTGCCAATGAAGAAATAATGACCATCACAAATGTGTTTATAAATTTGAGATCGTAAATTTTAACATCAAGGCCCATAAATTTGGCCAGTCGTTAAGGCGTGTTGTCTCAACAGTCATTAGTTTTCACACACTGATATTTTCATAATCGTAGAACTGGTATTATTCGGATTGTTGCTTATACTTACTTCGACATCGACATTGGGACTGTAAATGTGAGGGTCGTAGTCGTACAGTGCTTCCATTACACACTGTCTCGGTCTATGAGTTCCTCTCCGTTTTCGGATACACTGGTCTGTGCTGCCGGATTGTCTAGTGCTTTTTGAACCTTCAGTGTATTCAGCTTTGCCTGAACGAAGGTGTCGGTGTTTAAGGAATGCACGCGGAGCATTTCCACCGGCATCCACGTTGACATTACGTGGGCGGTCATCCAGCTAAAAGAGAACCACAGTTAAAATATTCTACAGAGGCCATAAATTGGAGGCCACAAACTTTATTGGGGTAGATATATTTTGACGACCAAAACACGCCCTGCTGCATCTTATTTTGCAACAATTTTAATTTGACTAGCTTTTGTACAAACCTGGTAAATTCCTACACGTCGAAAGCTAGGCCATTTGAAATGCTACCCGAGATTGGACTTTATAAAATGCAATGGCTTTGAACCGGCCCTGAAAATAAGCCATTAATGTATTGTATCCAACAGCATATAACGGAAGTGTTTTCACAACATTGACGCCTTTTACAACAGTTCACGATCTTTAGTGTTGAGGCTTACAACTGCTAGTGGTGCTCCGAAGCTAGAGGGAATGCAAAAGATATGCTAGTTTGGGTTGCATTTGGGTTGCCGGCCTGGGAATAGGGGTGAAAGTGTGGATTTGACGAGATTCCTCACAGCGTTTGAGCAGTTCTAAATCTGACGTGTAGAAAAAGTTTGGGGACTTACTTCTCCCAGTTGCTCTACTTAACTCAGTAGCGAAGATGCTATTTGAATAAATAACGAAAGTGCCCTAAATCCAATGATAGCCACAAGTGTTCAATTTTTCAAGAATGTTTAACACTAAAGTAATTTATCGACACTTTCAAGTGAGCCTGTTACCGTTTTCATATTTGAAGACTACGTTTTGGCCTTTAAAAAAATAAGTTTGAGCTTTGCATTTAATTCTTTACAATTAAGCCTTTCATTTGGAGACCCAGAAAAATAAGGACAACTTTACCCTTCAATGTAGCAAATATTTGTTTAATGAGGATGGTTTGCGCTTCCGTGTTTTCACTAAACCTGTTCACAAGAATTTAAAATCATTTACTGGTAAATCGATTCCAGAACAGAAAATCTCAAGAAATATTTTGTCTCATACATTTACCTCTATATTTGCTACCGATGCATCATTCAAACGACACACACTTCCGGTTTAATGAATGAACACCATCCTCCCAAACTCTGGATTTTTCCTTTTTAGAGGAATTGAGAGAAGAGCATAAGGTTTCTGTTACTAAGGCCAATTATAAAAAATTGAATTTTTGATGGTTACCATGTTACGTGTTAATAGGTTTGATAGCTAGAAAAGTATAAAGACAAAACCCATTATGGTTTGAGGTTGGCGTTGTAGTTTCTATTTTCATCCTTCTTAATAATTCAAATATGCCTTGAGCAAGTCACAAAAAGATATTTCTCAAGACAAGCTCAAGTTAACGCCATGAGAGGTTACGCAAATCAATATAGTTGTAATGGCGGGAGTGTCTGAGAAACCCATCTGCTGGTAAATGAGTTTTTTAAATGCATGTATCTTAAAGTTATCCTTTAATACCACTGTGACAACCTAACACTGTCGATTTGCCACCATTTACAAAATAGGCAGCAGGGGGTGAAAGCGTACGTGGCCAGAGGGTTGATCAGGCACAGGGGGGTGATGCGCCCTCGACCGATGAGGCTTCTTCATCTGTCCCGGTGGCAAGGGCCGAGAGGACTCTGTGGTTGATCGACCCCTAACGGGACACCTCTGCCTCAGGTAATCAGCCACTTCATCGGCGTTGGCCTCACAAACCATGTTTGACGGAACAAACCCTCTGCGTCCTTTGCATTCTCCAAAGTAGAAACCATCTTCATCACAGTCCCCGTACACCTTTGGAAGTAAAACGGGAATACAAGTGTACGCATTGGGGCAATGCCAACTCAGACACTCATTTAACTTGCAGAAAAACATCGTAAAACTCTTTATAGCTTAGTAACACCAAGAAATTATCCACGATCTTAAAATCGAGTTGCATAAACTACTTGGAGTAAACACGATTTATTAATTGATTGCTAACCTGGAGCTTGCTGACATACGACAATTCCCTGTTATTACCCATGATATAACTTAAATCATAGGTGAGTAAATAAAATGTCGCCCACTTCTTCAATATTTGAACGAGGACTTACAGAAGAGGATGAAGCACAAAAAAGCCATTTTTCCTCACGAGAACTTATTTACCCAGATTATTAATCAAGTTATTTAAGATTGCGTCGAGGCTGATTGCTTCGTCTTGCAGGCACATAAGGTATATTTCATGCGACATGCGGTCTAGTCAAGTGGACTCATCTACAATTTTCCTGGTGTAACCAGGGTTTCTCTCGACAAATTGATTCCAACAAGAAGAAAATTATTAAATCGTAGATTTTTTGATTCATCAATTGCAAATAAAACATTGCGAATAGTTTATTTGGCGACCGGTCTCTAAAGTGATTAGCAAATGTTATTCGTCATTCAGGTTATCAATTTGTGAATAACTATGTAAGGCTCATACTCTCGGAGGAAGGATTAAATTTGAGGGCATACGTGCAGGAGTAACACATTAGTCCATAATTTAGAATAGAAAGGTTTTGTCATCCATCATCAATGTAAAGTTAATTTTACCTTAATGATATCCCCTTCCTTAAAGGGAAGTTCATCGTCAACGGCCCCGGGGTTGGGCGACATGGTTGCAGGATCGTAGTCGTAGAGGGACACAAGGTAGACACAGCCGTCTTCGGTAATTGGAGGTCTGAGAGGTGAAGTTCCTGATTTTCGATCAGACTTTGAACAGGGCTCTGATTGATGAAGGTTTCGTGATCCTGCAGACATAAAAAAATGTAAATTTTTGAAAACGAGGAATTCACGTTAAGACACTTTTTAGATGTGAATGTTTAGACGATCCGGTGGGTTCTCAATGAAATTCTTAGCCAAATAAGGAACTCTAATCCACTGTATCATGGAGTAATTTTGAAGACACAAATGCTGCCACCCATGCGAGAAGAATAATATGGGGTACATTCACAGGTTCGTCCACGTTATTTTGGGCGGCTGGACACAAAACAGGACAATGTTAAAATTTCGGGGATTCAGTAAGATTGTAACAGAGACTTTTGCTTGACCCTAAAACATTCTAGAAGCCACCGAAAATTACAATTGGTTTTTTTCCATTCATAACTTTGTCAATGTGATTCCTCAGAGTATCTTATTATGCGCTAAAACAACTCTCTCCTTCGGAGACTTGAATTGTTGTGAATCAAGCATCAGTAGGCTAATTAAAGGGCAATTGCTAGCTCACGATCAGTCGCGGATTTTAAAAACTAATTACTTTAAGCACTCAGAGAACTTGTGCTTTAACGTAACAAATCCTAATTTGGCTAAACATTTAAGCTAAATTGGGAAAATTATTCAATGCAGGATGTGAAGTTATGCCAAGCCAATCGACAGGGCATCTAACGTTCATTAAAAACCTGGAGGGGCCAACACTTAATGTATCTCACCTCTTCTGGGATTCTCTCGATCAGTGCCTTTGGGTGGGCGATCTCCAGTACTGTAACCGAGACCGCAATTCGCAGCCTTTCGACCTGGTGTAACTGGAGACCTGGCACCACGGCTGACAGGGTCAGAATGTCGAATTCGTCTGTTTCTTGGATTACATTGGGATCCACGAGACCATCCGTAGGCATCACCATTTTCTACTGACCCAATCCTATTATCTTCCTCCTCACCAACCTCGTCCATTCCGGTCTCCTCCCATTTTCTTCCGTAGCAATGCCTATTTCCGATTGCCCCGTTGTAGTAGTCACGACTACTTCGAGAAAGAGCTGATTCGATCCCAAGTTGGTGGTCGTAAGGGAGCGTGTATTGGCGAGAAAGATTGTCGGAATCCGAAAAACCACGATTAAGGACTATTTAGCCGAACACGAGTTAAAAAATCAACACTTATTGGAAATAAATACAAAACCGACATGAAGAAAACTAAAAAGAATTTCAAGTTCAAATACAAGCTTCGGATCCATGGGGTAGAGTAGTAAACCTAATGACAGAAATCCAAAATAAAAAATAACGGACACAAAGGGGCGACTGCAAATTTAATAAATTAAGTAGGCATGAATGTGACAAAAATGCCTAAAATTAGATTAAAGACATCGGAGAAGCTACGGCGTTTAGCACTGGAATAAGGTAAGTCAATAACGAAATCAAGGTTTCGCCAGTCAATTCGCTGGAACATATGTTTTGAAGATTCCGTTTTTTCTTTAATATTGACTCGCAACAAAACAAACAATAGCGTCGATATGAACTGGGTCAGGGAACTGGCCTATGGGGCTTCGCTTCAGCCCCACTGCATTGAATTATGTTGGAATCGATGTCAAGCTATTTGGGTCGTGTGGGGCTAATCTACAATCATCAGACACGTTCAAGGCCTCCCAACATGGGATTCACAGTTTACGGTGCTAATGTTTCGTGTGTTCCACTGACATTTACCGAGTCCTGCTGCGACATTAATTTTCGCATATTTTTACTCAATCGCAGTTCGATTCCACACAAACTGCACTCCCATCCAGGTTAATGTAAGCTTCTTGAGTAGCTTTTATCGGTGATGGAAATGACTACCAATAATTTATGTTACCGTTGAATCTTCCACTGCCATGCTGAAATTCCTGGACCCAAAGCCAATTGTGGCAATCTGATTTCTTCCAAGTCCATACATTTTCAATTCTTTTGTAGCTTTTCTCAGTGTAAACTGCTGACAGTGTTAAACGCTGTGCATCTATCAGTCCTCGATTTATCCAAGTTAATTGCATTTAGTATTTTTTCCAACATTAGTAGAGGTATATTTAACTCACAGCCATTAGCCGTGCTCCAATGTTACGCTGCTGGCTCGGTCAATTAATTCAACGGAGTCGGTTCTAATTTGCATTAAAAAATCTATGTATTATTTATTTAAGGAAGATTAGAGGGAGACGAGGTACAGTCAGTAACAAAATTTTTCGTTTTTGCCAGTGGGTTCGAGTAAACACACGCTGAAAAGTTCTTTGATAGAGCACTTTTGCCTAACCTAAACGTCTCACTTTCCTAGGTCACTGACAGCACAGATAAGTAGAAGTCAGGTACTTTGTGCTGATAGACTTAGTTTACTGTGAACCGTTTCATTCGCCTTTCAATTCAGAAATGCACAGATAGTTGGAAGATAGCGGAACACTGGGCACAAATTACATTATTTCACATTCACTGCTTAAAAAGGCGATGGAAGGGAAGTACACATGTGCTGCGCTGTATTTCGTTAAAAAGAGGAAAATGAAATCTGGCACTTAATTATTTTTAGGAGACCATGTTACAGGGGATGGATGATGCACGCGTTTGTAGGTATTTGTAACAAGTTGTATCGTAATTCTAGCGAAACGTTAAGCTATTCCGCCGACTCTAATTAGCCACGAGTGCTACTGGCGAGTTGTCTAGCACTTGCCAAAATGTGCGTTCGATGGGATTATATTTCGCCAAAGTAGGTACAATTGATACACCGACTTAGATGTCATAAGTGTAGTTTCAGTCGGGTTTACCACTACGAGGGGTTCTGCGTCCACACACCACACCACACCACACCCAGGGAGTAGTGTCAGGCAGGGCCAGACGCGTTGGCGACACGCTCGTTTGGCGGCAATCCGCCGCCCGACGCGACACGTCGGGTCACGTTTGTGGACGCGAGCATTCGCGCACCCACACACCACAACCTGATCTACTTTGCAGGTCCAAATTCACCACGGTGATCGATTAACAGCCGTCAACGAATCAGTGGCCACACGAAATGCAGAGCGGCAGCCGAGCCTTTGAACAGTGACAATCGTCCTAACAACGCCATGAGTTTTAGTAACATGGAATCTGTGTGATGTGTATTAGCAGTGTTTACTGCTAGTCCGGCAATCGTATAAACTCGTAAAGAGGTCTTTAAGCTCTAGTAAGTAGTCACAGCGGTTATAAATGGTTACTTATATTGATAAATGCCAATCTTGTGGAGGCTAATTTAAGCACTTAATGAGTAGTTTGTAAGTGTTCCTGCTAGATTGTCATAAATTGCGAATGCGTGCATTCTAACAACTGATGTCTATTTAACAACCATGCTCGTATCTTACAGCAATCGTAGTGTGTCGAGGATCATCATAGCCTCTGTTTGAATTAATTAGTATCAAAATTTAGAAAATGATAAGCAACATTTCCGTCATGCGATGTTATGATTTTATGAAGGAGCATATATTGCAATTTCGTAATAAATCTTCAACAAATTTGCGTCGGTCGTGCTTCTGCTATTTGGTTTATTAAAACTGATTTACCCCATTTCAAAGTAGTGACTTCAGTATATGGTTTAGGTTTTGCCTTTGGCATTGGTGTGACTACCCCTATACTCGAGACTAATTTTTAGTGGATTTTCCTGAAGGGTTTGGTAAAAAAGTGCTCAGTGTTAACTACTCGACTGCATATCAGCGTTTAAATCAACCTAGATCCACTTCGAAATATGTGTATGACTTTCCCACGTTTTGACATAACGGGACACATTTACTCGTGATCTGACAACCATTTCTCTCCTTCAACCTTTCACGAATCAAGTCATAACTGGTAATAAAAAATTGTTAGGATAGAGAAGATAATGGGAAAACTAGCTTGGAAACATGGAAGTGGATGGATCGGTTCGATGGCAAAGGCTAAATAGCATCCATTGAAAAAATTTAGTCGAATATAGAAGTCGAAAATTGCCCTAAGACCCTGAAGAGAAAGTGCGCATTTCATACAAACAAAGAATTCGAAGGCTTGTAGAACGTTGGGAGACAATTTTGAAATTATAGAGAGCACATTACTGGTTAATAGATGCATTTTTTACACAACTTTTGGATAAATTTCGGTTTCAAATTGGGCATAAACTGTTGCAATCACTTATTACAGACAATTTTGTCAGCTATCCCAATGATTTTTTGGTTTTATAATTTTTGATTCCCTTAGTAGAACTATGAATAAATGGTGAAATAAATTTTGGCCATTTTTTTTAGTACTAAATTTGTGAATATCCTTTGAATTTACAGCCGTTATTATGCCACATGAGCTGCGCTGTATTTCTTCAGAAAGAGAAAAATATAATCTAGAATTAATTTTTTTAGGAGATCATGTGCTTCTCCCTTTACGTCAACTTGCGACTCTTCTAAGGAGCTCTGAATTTGCGCTTGCCCCCCCCAAACAGTTCCCAAACCAATTTTTCACGCAAAAGGAAGTCTCAGCGGAGGACGCTTCACAGTCTACTGGAGACAGCTTATCTGACATTCGAAATGAAGAACTCGAGTTGATCGAAAATCAACAAGACGCTAAAAATGATGACCCACTGGATCTCCGGCTCACAGTTCATTCAACGTTGTCTTCCAACACGGGTTTTGCAGGTAACAGAGGCGGTGATGTGCTGGGAAAGCGGGATCGCTCAGGTCCCGCGTCTCCGTCGATCAGCCTGATGCCGAGTTTGTTGCTCATCGCTGCGGGTTCGCTAGAAGCCGCGGTGGAGTTATTCGGAAAAAAACTGGCCAAACGTTTAGGCCTTGTAAGTCTTTTGAAAAAGCTGACTCCCAATTTAGTTGATATATTTGGCAGTTGAACCGATTACTTTGATCTTTACGTTTTCATTTAAGTAAATCAACCATCTAATTGTACCAGTTTTCGCTCCTCGAGAAATGATGCAAAATCAACGAATTTACTGAGACCACTGAAACTTTTGCTTTTTTGGTCCCTAGATCCCCTTTAAATACACCTAGTGTTTAATGTGAAACGTGGCTACGTGGAAGAACTGAGAAATTACTTAAAAATTTAGACTGCCCTTCTGTGTAAGGATTAAGTAGTAAGTTATTATGCAAAATTCAGTGGTTGCGATAGGCGTACTTTATTGATTGCCACCTCGCCAAAATGATTTCAAGGTCGCCCCAAACAATCACCTGCCTTAATAAAAGAGGGAGGCCAGAAGGATTAGAAGCGGCGACAATTACTTAGCAAGTTTGAATAGGGAAGAAGAAATGTGCCAAACCGGTGCGAAAAGTTTGAGTTTACTTACAGCATCTAAAGTTAATTGTTGAAGATGAATGGTGAGATTGGAATTGCTAAGGATGTTGCTCCCTATGTTAGTTAATGGATCAATTAGTCCGGTGTGTGTCAGTCTAACGGGCAATCGCTATTGGAGCTCGCCCTCAGTTTGGTGGGTCACAAATGTGCTGCTCAATGATTAGCATAGCGAACAAATGGAAATCCTTCCTCAAAATTGTTTGTGATCAAAATTAACATGGAGGGTTTTAGATTAAATGTTTGATTTCGGAGAAAACATGCTGAAAATACAACATGACAGGGACCGAAGGAACTAATGTTGTGACCTATGGTGGCCGTTTTCGGTAAAGTCAAACGAAAAGCATGCAATCTCAAAAAATGACAAATATACAAACCTTAGACGTAGTTGAGGGAGAAATTAATCCAAATTAACGAACAAGAAGGTTTTTACTCTGAAACACTATCTACTCATTTTTGTGCAGAACTTCCTTTTGTTCAATCAATGGATCTGGTGTACGCAGAAACTACTAAACGTAAATTCTGCGTCATTCCGCCCGTCCTAATCCTGTTCTGGTTGTTTTCAATCACCAAAACTAAAACAATATATGCCTGATATCTGATTTAGTCTTCTGGGTGATGCATGGTGCGATACCGCTAAATCTTAAATGGAAAGATAAAAGAACTTAAAAAATGACTTTAAATTGCATGGAGTTGGATCATGCAGGAGAGTTGGAAAATCTGCCAGTAAATCCGGTGAACAAAATTTATTTTTTTTCTGCTACACCGCCTTGTTCCTCGTTTGCGCTATTTAGCGTCATTTCTCTTATGAATACAATCAGATGCAAGGTAGGGTTGACAAACTTTTCTTTAAAACTCATCGGTCTCAATAATTAGAGTTTCTTTTTTACAAAGTGAAACTAACCTCCCTCGTGATGCACATAGTATAAAGATAAGAATCTCCAAATTTTACACATTGACGTAAATTAACAGACGACTATTATTATCCTCATAACATTTCATTATGTCTTGAAAAAAAGGCTTTGTAAAGCTGCAATTTTCTTGACTTGGTTTCGTGAGCATGATTTTCGTGCTAATTAACTGCTGGCTTCTACATGGTTAAGGCCATAAAATATTAACGCATGCGTTTTTTTAAAAAAACTAATATAAGAATAAAATACACATAATTGAATGTATTATGTCTAATAAATTATCTCTGAAAAGTGTCCTATTTTTAAGCTCTATGTGCTTGATGCCTTCTAGGCACCTATTGTTCTGTGTCGTCAAGTGAAATTTAATTATTCGTTCATAACCAATGCATCTGTCTGACAGATGTAACATTAACTTTTTCCCATAATGGGCAGGTTGGCACCAATTACAGCTAGATAGAGAGTTATTGCTGATACAAAAGGCCCCTTATTTTGGGGAACTCATCTGCAGGATTTTCGATGTGAGTTTAGGTCATGCTTTCATTTAGAGACTTTGCTACAGCACTGACTCAAATAATGCGACTTCTTGCGGGATGTGTTTTGCGGTTTTGAAATCCTTTGCAAATAGGTTTAAAATGCTTCACACAAGCTTTATTTCGGGTAAATGATCAGCTTGCGCTTATGTATTAATTTTGATGTTAACGAGCAGAATACATGTGAAGTTGTGTACAAAATTGCACATCATAATGTCACATGTCATTTCACTACATGGGGTTTTAAGTATTTTCAAGTTATTTTTAAGTGATACCAAAGCGAAATGTTTTATTTGTGATGTGTTTGAAAATGGTTTATTTAACTTAACCCGGTAACCCAAAAGCCCCTTTTCAATTTTCGTATGCAATATTGGTAGTGCAGAAGCAATTCAAAGTTTGCGACACTGGAAGCTACGGCCCATGAATTGGGGTTGTTTCGTGACATTATTTGACTTAATGTTAGGAAACCGTGGAACAAAAAGAGTGACCTCTGATGACATAACTATGTTCTTCAGAAGGTGGTTCTCACTTGAATCGGTTGCCTTTAAGTTGACATCATTCCTATTCTTCCTGCACTTAGCGACCTCATAGAGCTTGGATTTGGTTACTTTTTGCAATTTTCGTCTGCATATAATGTCATTACAGTAGAATCACACGAAATGCAAAATGTTCGAACATAATAAAAAATGTAGGGACATAATTTAGGCAAAAATTAATCCATCTAATTTGGGAATGGTAGGTAAATACTAGGTATTTATGAGTAAGGGTAAGTACTTGCTAGAGATAGTGCTACCAAAGCGCTCGTGTGAGAGGGGCCCCTAATTTAGAGTAAACGATGCACACCTGATAGAATATGGTAGATCCATTTGAATCACGTGAGGTTCTAACAGAACCTTGTGAACTGAAATTTAAATTGAAAAGAAAAACACCGGAAAGTTTTTTTGATGTAATTTGGACTACTTTCAAACGGCGTAGGAGACGAAAAGATTGAAAACGTGTTAATAGTGTTAATAAGGTATATTTTGCACAGATATTATGCTGAATAACCTGCCACTGATAGATAACTTAAAATAGTTGTAAACTTCCCTAGAGATAATCAAGAATATTTTTTAATCGATTGTCAACAGCACCATTTCTAGCAGCTTGAAAAAGGATGCATCGTTCGTGTGAGGGAAAACAGATTTCGTGCACACTCTAACTGACTCGTTCACACGTCCATTGACTTTCAAACTGTGGCAAGTCAACAAGGTGGTGTACACTGGCAGAAATATTTCGTTTGTTCTAAAAAGGGAAGAAGTTTTGTTTACATTTATTGCCCAGTTTTGTAGCCATTTTAGCACTAAGCCAAATTAACCATAGTAACGATCAGATAATAGCTGCTAAAGAACGAAATTTAATCTTTCTCTCTAGCTTTCCGGAGTGGCTAAAGTGCATTTCGCCTAAGAGCGCGCAAAAAATGTGAGTCATTACTGCTGAACGTGAGAGGAAAGCCGGAAAAGACCTCAGAAATAAGGGAAATCTTTCTGATCTACTCTGTGTTAACAAATAATAATTACCCCGCAAAATTTTTATAAAGAAGAAGCACTTGACTGAATTCGGTGGGATTAGCTTAACTTTTATTGCCTTATAAATGCTAAGTCTACTTCTTAAATAGTGATGAGACTAGATAGTTAATTTTGTGGATCAATTAGCCAATTTCTGGTTATTGCGTGGTCCCAGGAACTGTCGTGCAGCATACGAAGGGGGTTTCGCCAAGGATCAAGTCGTACTCATGTTTTCATCATTAGTTCCCCAATATTTTCGTTTCTAGAATGAAAACAGTGCAGCCGTTGCATGCGTCAGTCTTCGACGTTCAAACCCCGTTTATATATCGATTGAGAAGCCTGTTATGGACGCTGAACGATCGGATAACCCCGATTCAGTCGAAGATGATCCTGGCATCGTCCAGGTTTACGCTGGAAATATTACAGGAATAGCCAAGACAAGCAGCCCCACTTCTGATGCTCTCGATTCTGCTGAAGTAAATCCAAAAGTGCTTGTTTTAACAGGAATTATGCCTATCTGGAATGGAACACAAAGTCGACTTATACGCATTTTGATACAATAATTTTTTGTGCAAATTCTAAATTTAATGAACTTGCAAATGCTTATGATTTTTAGGGTTTAATGCATCACAGTTTGATTTACTGCGGTGTTATAATATTGGTCTATTGACAATGCCAGTCAGAGTCACGCCTTAATATTGGCTTGATGCAAAACTGTTGTGCAAGTCACAGCACTCTTCTGGAATAGTTTTGTGGTTTCTAGTTTCTAGTCGGACGGAGTTCAGTGTGTCATCCATGTAACCATGACGTCTGTTGGAAGAGGAACTAGGAGGACATCAGATTAATGTATTCCCATGTGGCCCACAAAATTCCAAGGTGTGCATCAGGGACCTCTGCCATGTGTAGCATTTGCTCACTTATCCATTCCTTCATCTGGGAGGTTTAAAAAAGCATCTGATGTTTGAACTATAGTTACTACCCTTTGTAACAATGTAAATATTTGTTTGCTACCGTTGAATTACAAATTGATGTGCTCTGAAGCATGTTAGTAGGTGAGGATTTGAATTCCACTCGTAAAATTAAGTCACGTGGCACGTTGGACAAGGCTAGGCACAACGAACCAGTTAAATTTGGAAAAAAAGTTCCTCTAAAAGATTGTTTGTTAGGTATGAAATGAACATTTTTAATAGTACTTCGATAACTGTAATTTTTGGTAAATTTGGTTGTAAAGGGAGCGATAACCAAATAGGTATCCCCGCTTTGAGTAACTTCATGTGATCTTTACCTGCAATGAAAAGTGTCATTTGCCATATTTCCAAAACCTACTCCGTCGTGTCTTACTAGAGGTATTTTATCAATGGACAAATATTGGCAGATTCATCCGATACTAAAAATAATTTTAGTGTGAGTGCGTACAAGGGTTTATTCCAGAATGCACAAAAATTAAAAGACGAAGCGCTCTGATGCCAACCCTGCAGACCATCAAACTTAACTGGCGGCATTAAACCAAGCATCTTTCAGGTGCTGTACTTGAAAGGAACTACATGGTTGGCCGTTCGTGATAATTCAATTCAACAAGTGTTACCACGGATCTATTGGTAGTTGCTTTGTGAACATGATATATACGGAATAAACTACTCCGTTGATTTATAAGACGCGTCGTTGCTGACTTTGGATTGTTCTCGTGTGTTATTATTAAAGTGTTTTACAACAGTGTGGTCGAATTTGGTCAACCCCTTTTGGAACTGCCTTTTCATCGAAGTGTTGGTAAAAATTAAGGCGAAATCGGTGACGAGGTCAGCAGAATGATGGTAGGAAAATCAATTTTAACTATGGTTGGCAGTTTTCAATTTAGATTCACTAAGTAAGTGGACACTTATCTTTGTAAAATTTATTTACAGTGAAAAAGGCAGAAAACTTAGTAGTAAAATGTTCACACATTAATCCAGGCTCTTCTTCGGAAGCGTCAATCGCAGAAACACAGATACGGCGAATCTTTAGGCCAACAGCATCCACAGTATCGTCGCGAGACGTGGTCCAGTGGATATTGGCCTTTACCATATTATGGACGGCATAGCGTTGGGACACCCCATCCTCAGAGTCATTGCCGCCACCGAAACGAAGTTGAGCAGCCATCTCTTCCATCCGATTCTGTCTATCACCCTCGCCGTGGCCGTCTTGGTCGGTACCTTCGACCAACCCGCTCAATGTCAGATGAAAATGACTGTCTTGGAAGTCAACGAAGGCTAATGCGTCTGCCTTATTCCACCGAGAGTACAGAATCCGAGCGTCAGCATCAATGGAAACCAGTGTTTACCTCAACAAGATCCAGTCTTGACCTTCGTGAAGAATCTCATCGAAGAGGTCGCTATGTCTGCAAATTACATAGATCCCCACCTTTAGGTCATTATACAAATCCTAGAGCTTTTTTAATGAGAAGAAGCAAATCTCTTGGACGTCCTCATGCAATGACACTCATTTCATCCTCTTCTAACGATGAGGGCTTTTCAAAGGCCTATTTTCAGCGGCTTCAGGAACGCGGACACTCTAGAGGTCCAATTTTACTCCCAGCTGATGAACTGAGTCGGGGGTTCTACCGTGACCGACGTCAACATAAGGTTCCCTTTGGTGCGGCAAATTCCAGCTCTGAATGGGGACAGGAGGACTTTCACAACCGCGAAAAATTAAGGGTGAGACTTTCAAAGTTTATTTCTCTTCGTGAAAAGGTGTCTAATTAACACACTGGAATTTAATGTATCATCTTGCGAGACATAGTGTTCAATAAGCCTAAGATTTTAATATTTTAGGAATTAACTCCCAAAACTTCGAAAAATTGACGAGCTGCTATCGTACAGAATATTTGAGAGAAATATAGACTATGACTGGTCCAGCACCGCTTATTACAAATTACCTGCTTGCCCTGCTAAAGTAATCCATGCAACGCCTTCCTACATCAAATGCTAGCTCACCTTGGAAAATGAGCATAATATGGAGTTTCTTTAGGATTCAAAAACCTATACAAAAATCAGCAGTGTTAATTTCGATTTTAATATCGAAGATCATTCCATCGACATGAAACTCACTCGACCAATGCCATTTTTGAGCATGGAACCAAAAGAGCCTTTTCAAAAAAAACAAACATCTAGTTTCATTCCTGAAGACGGTGGCATGACATTATTATGAGCATATCCTTTAGTACTAATAACACCGATGGGACGAACAGTAACAGGGAGTGAAGAAAATGTTCTGTTTAAATTCAAAAGACCTTCATCTCATTAGCGAACGCTTCAGACTGGCGATTTCTGTAGTTGATACCTATGTGAAATTTTATGTAGTGGCTACAGATGAGCCCAGAGCCTATGTTTCGCAAACGGCATTTGTCACATTCTCCATTAAAGGTTTTTCGTAAGCATCAAAGGCATAAATAATATGTGAGTGTTAAGTATGACTTTTCCATTTACTGGTTATACCCTTCAATGTGTTTTTCACTCAAAGGAATCAATGTTTTTGCCAATTCACACGTTCTCAATACTAACGCGTGCACATTTATCTAGATTGGGAAGTCGCCTACTGAACGACTGGTTCCAAAACACTGGCTTCAGAAAATAACATCTGTTCCAGAAATACGTAAGTTTGAGTTCACTAATTCCTATTTCGACCTATTCTATGTCTTAAAATTTGTAATCCGCTTCATAGTTTGAAAGTGATCCCTTTACTATACGATGCAAATAAACCCTGGTTTAGACCTGACCCAAAATAGGGTGCGAAAACGGTCTTGTACCCAAATGTTAACGCCCTACCGCAGAGAAACAGAATGAGGTAAACTAACCCACTTTGACATGAAGGTGTACGCAATTACTTTGGTGTGGGTTGTATACCATTTATCTTTGTAAAACTCGCCTTATTCACTACTTCAGAAAATGTGCCTGTTTTATCAGAGACCATTTCTGTGATGATACAATTAAATTGAAGTCACACAAATTACCAATAGTACCTAAGATTTTCTTGTGAATCTGTGTTTAGTTTGATTGTTATGGTTAAAACACTGTACTGAATGTACTTTTTGTAATTTCGGTTTCTTTGTAATTTATGACAATCAAGCAGGAACACTTACAAACTACTCATTAAGTATATCATTTATCAATATGAGTAACCATTTATAACCGCTGTGACTACTTACTAGAGCTTAAAGACCTCTTTACGAGTTTATACGATTGCCGGACTAGCA